ACTCTTCCTGCTCTATGAGCTCTATCATGCCTCTTCTTAAAGCTATGTATGGATCCTGCCTCCACTGCATCACTTCCCAGACTATTCCACTTCCTGACAACTCTGTTACTGAAGAAATACTCCCTAACATCCCTATGATTCATCTGAGTCTTCAACTTCCAACTGTGACCCCTTGTTGCTGTGTCCCATCTTTAGAACATCCTGTCTCTGTCCAACTTGTAATTTATATGTTATTATCATATCTCCCCTACCTCTCCTGTCCTCCAGTGTAGTCAGGTCGATCTCCCTTAACCTCTCCTCGTAGGACATGCCCCTTAGCTCTGGGATTAGCCTTGTTGCAAACCTTTGCACTTTCTGTAGTTTCCTTACATGCTTGGCTAGGTGTGGATTCCAAACTGGTGCTGCATACTCCAACATAGGCCTAATGTACATGGTGTACAGGGTCCTGAACGATTCCTTATTGAGATGTTGAAATGCTGTTCATAGGTTTGCTAGGCGCCCGTATGCTGCAGCAGTTATTTGTTTGATGTGCGCCTCAGGAGATGTGCCCAGAGTTATACTCACCCTGAGATCCTTTTCCTTGAGTGAGGTTTGTAGTCTCTAGCCCCCTAGACTGTATTCCATCTGCGATCTTCTTTGCCCTTCCCCAATCTTCATGACTTTGCACTTGGTGGGGTTGAACTCCAGGAGCCAGTTGCTGGATCAGGCCTGCTGCTTGTCCACATCCCTTTGTAGTTCTGCCTGGTCCTCATCCTATTGAATTCTTCTCATCAACTTCACATCTGCAAACAGGGACACTTCTGAGTCTATTCCTTCTGTCACATTGTTCACATATGCCAGAAACAGCACCAGTCCTAGGACTAACCTGTAGAACCCCACTCTGACACCTCGTCATGTACCATGACTTGCTGATGTCTTCCCGACAGGAATTCCCTGATCCATTGCAGTGCCTTCCCTATTATCCCTGCTTTTGCACTAATCTCTTGTGTGCACCTGTGTCAAACACCTTCTTACAGTCCAAGAAAATGCAATCTACCCACCATTCTCTCTTTTGTCTTACTTCTGTCACCCTGCCATAAAACTCCAGTAGGTTTGTGACACAGGATTTCCTGTCCCTGAAACTGTGGTGGCTGTCACTGATAAGCTCATTTGTTTTTAGGTGCTCCACCACTCTTCTGATAACCTTCTCCATGACTCTGCATACTATACATGTCAGTGACACTGGTATGTAGTTTAATGCTTCGTGTCTGTCTCCTTTGTTAAAAACTGGGATTACATTTGCTGTCTTCCATACCTCAGGCAGTCGTCCTGTTTCGAAAGATGGTGTTGAAGATTGTTGTTAGTGGTACACATAGTGATACTATGATATAAAAAGACCCAAGTAATGAGAGGCATGACTTTCACCACTGAGCTACCCTGTAGGGTAGGGTACACATAGTGCCTCTGCTCTCTCTCTCAGGGCCCATGGAGAGATGTTATCTGGCCCCAATGTCTGTGAGGTATGGAGGAGGAGGAGGAGGAGGAGGAGGAGGAGGAGGAGGAGGAGGAGGAGGAGGAGGAGGAGGAGAGGAGGAGGAGGAGGGAGGAGGAGGAGGAGGAGGAGGAGGAGGAGGAGGAGGAGGAGGAGGAGGAGGAGGAGGAGGGAGGGAGGAGGAGGGAGGAGGAGGAGGAGGGGGGAGGAGGGAGGAGGAGGAGGAGGAGAGGAGGAGGAAGGGAGGGAAGAGGAGGAGGAAGAGGAGGAGGAAGAGGAGGAGGAGGAGGAGGGAGAGGAGGAAGGGAAGAGGAGGAGGAGGAGGAGGAGGAGGAGGAGGAGAGGGGAGGAGGAGGAGGAGGAGGAGGAAGGGAGGAGGAAGAGGAGGAGGAAGAGGAGGAGGAGAGGAGGAGGAAGAGGAGGAGGAGAGGAGAGGAGGAGGAAGAGGAGGAAGGAAGAGGAGGAGGAGAGGAGGAGGAGGAGAGGAGGAGAGGAAGAGGAGGAGAGGAGGAGAGGAGGAGGAGGAGGAGGACGAGGAGAGGAGGAGAGGAGGAGGAGGAGGAGAGGACGAGGACGAGGAGGACGAGGACGAGGACGGAGGAGGACGAGGGAGGAGGAGAGGAGAGGAGGACGAGGAGAGGACGGACGAGGAGGAGGAGGGAGGATGAGAAGGAGAGAGGGGCGAGGAGGAGGAGGAGGGAGGAGAGGAGGGAGAGGGAGGGAAAGGAGTGATGAGGAGTGAGCAGTAAAGAGAGAGAGGAGGGGGTGGATATATGGGGGGGGGGGGGGTTTGTGTATGTGTGAGTAGGAGGGTGGTTTCTGTTTATTTGTTTAGGCCCTAACGGTTAGTAGGCTGTGTGTGTTTGTGCATAAATGCATGTGTGTGGTTTTGTGTGTGTGTGTGTTTATTAGCCCCTTTGTATGTACACACTGTCTTTGTGTGCTTAAATTACTTAAATTGGCAGCTATGTTAGTATATGTTTGTTTACTGTCTGTTTTGTCTGACATGCACTCACTAGTGTGTGTGTGTGTGTATGTGTTGGCCTACATGTTTTGCCCCAAACTTTCCTACTGAGCTTATCGTCCTTACTAAATGTTAAGTGCTATATGTATGATATTCAGCTCATCAGAGTAGGATTTGTGACTCCGAGCTACCAGTGATGCAGGGCCATACGCTAATCAACCAACATGCAACCACAAAAGGTGATTTGTACATCATGCCTGGCAGAGGTGTTGTCTGGGATCCTGGCTCTGTTGCGGCTGCACAATGATTCTCATTGTAACAGCACTCGTGTGTGTGTGCGTGTGTGTGTGTGTGCGTGTGTGTGTGTGTTTGCATGTGTAGATATAATTTTTTGTAACTTAATGTCTGTCTTCTGCCAAGGCAGGCTGTGCCAAAGAAAGAAGGCCATTCACCTACATTCATTCACCTGCTGTCTTGCTAGTAGTGTGCTGACTTCACAATTCACATTTCCCTGTGATTGCAACATCTCTGTTTTCCCAACCTACATTTGTTAGTGTTGCTCTCATAGTAGGTGGTACAGGTGGTAGCATTTATAGCTAGAGCAGTCATGTGCCAGGAGCACCAAACTTCTCACTTCATGTTACTGGTACGTCGTACATGTATTGCCAAGGTACTATACGAATACTGTTTCCTGTTTAAATTTAATTAAAATTGCTCTTTCTCACTGTTTAGTCTTTATTCATTGAATCTTTTGTTATTGCTCCTCATTCTTGAGTGATAATTTATATAATCCCCAAACATTTCTATGGGCTCTTAAAAAACAACTCACCTCATGCATCTCATTAAAACTTTGAACATTACTGGTAAATATAATAATAATAATAATAATAATAATAATAATAATAAAAATAAAGTAAAGCTTCAATGATGGATGAAACCAAGAGTTTTCCCCTTCAATAAACAATAAAGATATTTTTTAATAATTTTTTTTGTTTAAAGTTTTTACTATCTTGTGTCATATGAGCCCTGCTTCCAAAAGTCTGCATTTTGAGATGACTCAGTACATGTACTAATAACCCCAGTTTTCTTACATAGAAAAATTCACATGATAACTGATGCTTGAACTTGTCATTAATCTGAAAGCTAACTCACTAAATCTTACTCTACTTCTGCTGTCTTGGTACATTGTACAGTGATGATGTACTGTACAGGCTGTGTGTATTTACTGCAATACAGTAATTTATCTCCCAAACCAATGAATGGTAATTCTTAGTAAAATATTTCTAAATAACTGCTATTCTCGTTTTCAGTGGCAAGTTGTGGACTGACATCAGAATGGTTAATGTATGACCTGTCTATAACTACACTGCTGCTCAATGCATAGTCTAGTAATTTATACAGTCACTACTTCTAGGGATCTCATCAGGCATGACTCTTTCTCTGAATTCTGGTTTTGGTTACTGCGATAACCATAGTTTGTGCTTCCCTATTTTGAACGAGAACAACCACCATGTGACTGTCACGAATGTCATCCATTGGACTATGATCTTGGATCAAAAAGCCTCTCAAATTTGCTTGCAATAAAATCTTCCAGAATTCTGTTTGGTCTTAGAATTTGCTATGATCCTTGATACTGGAATTAAAACATATAACATTACTTTCTGATATTTTATATCCTCCAATCCTACTGGGATTCAGCACGTAAACTTTTAATGTAACTCTTCTGTTCTAAAACTCTTATTTATAAAAAATTTCCTTCTGTGAAAGGAATGTAATTATATATTTTAATAATGAATATTCTGTATAATACAGTACAGTATATGACTTTAGTCTGCCCAAAATACTTTCACATAAGTTTGTATAAATTGTACACAATGTTAATCTTACACTGTAAAATAAATGTACTGAAAAAACTTATTACTGCAATATTATTATATTATTATTATTATTATTTTGTACTGGAAAAATTGCATACACCAATTAATACCTTTGTCTCATAAACTAAACATTTAATATTTTATATACTCACTTGCTCTAAATTTATTAATTGCCTAAATATTTAACTGGCATTTCAGCACTGAAGTGATTCTCTTTTGCGCAAGACTTTCATTAATTTTAATTTAACTACAATTTCTATACTAAATGATTCATGAAGATGACCATTTACAATCCTAACTACAGAATGATTGGCTGCTTGCTGTGCCCACCTTACTAGATTAATAGGAATGCCTGAGCAAAATGAAAAAAATATAAGCACATTTGACAACTGTTTAGATTAGATAGATCCATATCTTATGTTATGAGATTATGACACAACACAGTGTTAGCCTTTGAGCTAATCTTCAGATTACAATCATGCATTGTAACAAATATTAGAATACACTAAATATGATATACTTGTGTTTGCTTCAATAAGGAATGTGTTAAAAGTATGACTTGTATATTGCAGTACTGTCCTGTAAAAAAAAATCCAACCAGTATGAGGGCAGCAGCAGTGAGGAAGGTGGTGTTACATGGGATTGGGAAGCGCTATTCTAGCACCACTATAGACTACGGCCAACACGCCTGTGGGTGCCTGGGGACCTTGTGGGACTCTCTGGGGACAGCATGGCCGCAGCACGTAGGATCCTCTCGTGGTCTTCTGGGGAAGCCAACTGCAACAGCTCTGCCAATTTGTCTCCGGGGGTCCCAGGGGAGCCTGATGGCCCCACCAGAGGACCACCGAAGTCCCCGTGCCCAAACTCCTGCCCTCTGCGCCACGGCCTCACATACCTGCATGGTGGCACTTGTACACCAGGGGACCTCGGACATGGCCACGTGGGCACCACAACACCCAAAACACAAACACAGTGCAAGGTAGCAGAGAAGGGTGACTCCAAAGATACGCCAACATTTATGAAGTCCGTCTAAGTGTAAGGTACATGATTTTTCACTGACTATTCTACAAGGAAAACTATGAACAATGTTTCATGTGTGTTCATAGTGCAGTATTAAACATTTCAAAATTCTTGACTTTGTTGCAAATGGACTTAGTCTAAAATGAATGAAACTACAGTATAGATCTACACGATATTGTGCAACGTGCCAATTCTGCTCCTGCAACTATGTAAAAAAAGATACTACTTTTTTCAAAAATGCTATACAATGTAACAGTGATCAAAAAATATATTACTAACTAATGGAGTCAAGGCTATGCCCAGGACATACCTTGTTAATACTATGAAACACCTAAGTTCTGAATCTGTAGCTAAAGAAAAGCAGAAAGCAAATTATTAGTCATACGATCAATGGTCATAGCCATAGTCATTAGTCTATAGTTCTCTTGTGTCATGTATGAAACATTTTGGATTCCCGTTTGTGTAACATTCTTAAGCAAAGTTTACTGCTCTCATAATTATAGTTAAATGCTTTTATCTTCAGTGCAATTTTATCTATTCTTTTGCTATGAAAGAATCTCCTTTTACTTGACTAAGATTCTATTTAATTATCATGCAAAATAAATTAAAGCTCATTATAGGGGCTACTTCAGTGACAAATTTAGTAAATAATTAAGGTAAATAATAAATGCCCAACTTGGCTTAGAAAATAAAGTGATCATGAGGTGGTCTTGCTTTGGAGTCATCCCTTCTGTACTAAACCTCATGATACCCTAATGAAAAAATTACACACAGTACTGAATCTAAAGACAGCAGAGGCAACATAAGAAAAAGTCTCTAAGTCAAATTTCATGAGACATCCCTGAAACTTATTTCTAAAGTCCTGCTGTTGTGCAAGGAGCTGAGGCATGTATTTTGCATCGTTACATAGAAACACTGAAAAAAAACATGCTTGCTACACAGATGATAGAAGTGTGTAATGGCATGTAAGATAATGTGATATTTAAAGATGTATCACACTACAGTTACTACTCAGCATTCTATTGAACATTTTGACGATGATAAAATTCCTTTAGATATTTGAATTCCATCTTTTAAAATACTGAAATTTGTTGAGGATCAACTAGCCGCATATCAAGTGTATATTTTACAATTAAGTAATTGACAGCAACTTGAAAAAAGTATCAGATTATATTCACAGGAAATAACCTTTATCACAAGATAATTTTGACTAATAAATAATTATCATTTCATAACTGAGACTGAATGAGAATTTCTTTTATCTTGCTTCAAAGCTGTGTAACTAAAAAATAAATGCAAAAATTAGTCCTTTTTCTTCAAATCTTTAAGTCAACAATGAAGAGGTTTAAGAAGTTTGCTATATTGTGCAAATAGTGCATCAGAGGCAAATATGCAAAAATGGCTGAAGTGCAATACACAATAGTTTCTTTGTAATAGGATACTAAAGAGATGGTGAATATGTGAATATGTGAATATGTGAGTGAACTGGGCATTGTGTGAGTGATATGAATGAGAAAATAAAGCCATGAGATAGTGAGCTATGTTAGGTGGAGCAAGGTATGGCTGAGTGAGAAAATGTGACTAGGAGAGGGGAAAATAAAAGTTTATTATTGTGAGAGGAAAAAATGGAGGAATTTATGTGAGTGGGATGATTGAAGGGATTATGGTGATGAAAAGTATGACTGAAAAGAATAAAAATGAGAGGACAAATTATGAGACGTGAGTGAGAGTAAGCTCAATGTGAAGAAGGATCATCACACATATTAATTGCCTTCTATGTAGCTATTTCATTATGTAAACTAAAATGATGTGTTTATCAAATGAAGTAACTTACTAGCAAAATAATTTTATCCTTTTTGTTACTTGTGTGTCCCATGATATTTAACTGTATAAACAAGTTAATAAAATGCACTAGATGTAATTTTCTTGTCACTGCAAACTTCAATAATGGAGCTGGCAATGTATTTTCTGGTTTAAAATCTTAATTGCCACTGAAATGCCTCTGAGCTAGTGATCTCTCTCTACTTTGCTTATTGTTCTGATGTTAACATACAGTCTATGTCCTGGTCAAGTAATTCAGGACTTATTTAGGAGTACAGTAACTTAAGTGGTGTGAATCAACACTAAATGGATGTACAAAGACATATGTCTACTCTGTGTAGTATGGCTCATATGTGAAACCTGTGCAAGTGAGGTTTTATAAATGGATTAAGTTGTTACATTCTGATAAGAGAAAGCATTCCTTAATGGTGCCTGTGCCTTTGTTAGAGTTTTTGAATCTATGATTATGCCTCCATTAATTTTAACTTGACTTCTTGTAGCTATATATGAACTTTTTTATAACAACTTTTTCTTTGGAAGCACAAACACAGCCCTACCTTAAATAACCATGCATTTGCACTGATATCTTGATTAAACAGGATCAAATTTGATAATTTCTGGTCACTGAAACTTGCCAGAAAGTGTTGTTAATGGTAAAGATTCAAGACTAAAATCTCACTTTCTGAAAAATCAAAGGTAAGACTGAACGGTTATCATAGTTATGGTGAACTTGCTTCTGTATGACCAAGACAAAGTGCTTCACAGTCACTAAATTTAACAAAATGGGACAGAGGGCCATAAATGTCATGCACCAATTATGTATAATAGGAAATGAAATTCTGTTAATTAAATCAACATCAAAGTAGCCACAATGGCATAGTGGGAAACTGACACACAATATTGCAACTGCCTAACTTTTGAAGTATTCATTACAAGTACATGAGTAGACATAACATATATATAGTGGGGATAGGAGTCAACTACACCAGAAGCTTATCATGACTATATAAGGAAAAGGTTGTTGTAGTTTTATGGATATAATGCTTCTAATAGGTATTGGAATGGAGTTCCAAAAGTGTTTAAGAGGTTAAATAATTTTATGCCTCATGAATCTACAAAGTAAGTAGCATTCTTTCACACTGCCTTCACTGTATTTGATGAATATAATTTTTGATGTACATTATCTAAAAAAAAAAAAAGGAAAAGTACACATCTGGTGTAGTTGTGATCCACTGATACTGCCCATTGGGGGTGAAGGGGACTGACAAGGGGAGATGTGCCTGGACGGACCCTTGTGACTCTGTGCAGGATGAGGAGTCGAGGCGGTAGTGCCGATCAGCTTCCGTCTCACTCATCCGGATCTCCTCAGACCCTGAAGGCGACATGTGGCGTGACGGATGATGCTCAAGCTGCCGTATCAAATCCTCCAGGTTGCGAATTCTTATTGGGCCACATGGCGGCACTTGCTCTTCTTCTCCTCCAGAATCAGCTAGTTTTTCATGTGAGGCTTTCAGTCTCGTGAACTCTCCAGGCCCACCAATAGCTGCAGCGCCCGGTGGAAAGCGTGGATAGGTGTCATGATGAGCAGTGTGTAACTCATCAGAAGACATTGAGGTTGCTCCAGAGCGGTGTGATGCAGCTCTCTTAAGAGCATCGATGATATCTTCATGGTAACCATTGAGACTCTTAAGTGTCCGTTCAACTTCAGAGACTTGGCACTCGGGATCAGCATTGTTATCACTCTGACTGAGGACATCGTTGTTGTCGCTCTGGGACTCCTCACCCCACTTCTCCTTCTCTGCTGGCGTGAGGAGGCCATATGATTTCTTCAGGATTCCCTTCTCGGGTATCTTGCTCAGGTTGTTAGATGGTAGCTCAATAAACGACACTGCCTCGTCCTCCCCTGGAAAGATGGAGACACGTCACCTCTACTCCCTTAACCCTAAGCCCATATTCAAATAAAATTACCATATATGATGTGAACCCACCCTTAAAGTGGCTTATTAAATTTTTCAACTTGCCAATGGTTTTAATTTAAAGGCATTTTGAAACTGTATACAGTACTGTACAGATTTACATGATGATTGATGGCAGTTGACAGTCAACTGTTTTTCAAGATACAATATTACGTATATTGCTCTTAACGAACATTTTATAGAAAGCCACAACATCAACTTTCTGTAATCTAATTTTCCCAGAATACTTAGTCTCTCACTGATTTGGGGACGTGCCTCTCTTTCCAGGGGAAGGGTAGGGAAGGGTCATTCTTATTAGCAACCACACAATACATTCTCAGCCATATTCTTAGCCATCAAATAAAATACAAATATGTACAATCAATGATGAAACTATATTTCAGGAACCATACTGTTCTTTAGTGAAGAAGTAATAAAATGAAAACATTTAGAGTGAAACTGATGACTAAGAAGTGACGTGTGATATAAAGGTGACAACACTACACCGTGAGCACAAACAATATAAGGGAAGCGTAGAATGGGAATCATAGAGTCGAGGGTAAATGATAAAGAGTATATCATGATGGATCAATGTATAAATCATTTGTGGCAAATTGCCAATACCCTAAGGTGATAACTGATGTAATACAAAACAGCTATAGAGCCAAAACACACACCATTAAAGGAAAACATAATAAGTTCGTGTGCATAACTGTTTTGATTACAGGCTTTTGCAAGAACCATTTGACTGGTATAAATATTTTTATTATATACTTGTGATGAATGTGAACTTACAAGTATATCATCTTAACATATTTGCCTTTTTATTAACATGTTATTGAAATTTAAAATATTACAGGTGATTGTGTACTCATTAAACTTCCAAATCAAATTTTTTTCATGGATTAAAACTGATGATGAATAAGAAACTTTGCATGAGCTTACACAAAGTTCAAAGACTTTTAATTGTGAAATTAATTTTTTGTATATGATTTTAGTTTACAACACTACAGTACTGACTTATAAAGATACAACAAGGCAAATGTATTGAATGTAATTTCATAATTTTGACATATAGTTTTACTCAAATTTTTTTTGATAGAGACTCTTATGTCCAAAATTTTGAACTTAGTTATCATCAAAAGCCATTAAATAATCTATCATATATCATAGATCAATTCAACAAAATATATTTTTATAACAAACAGCAATTTACTATTTAAACAATTAACATAACTAACTACAGTATGTTTGATGCAGTCAGCAATATCTCTCTTATATGGAATATTCAAGTTCAAAATTCTAACAAATTAATAAAATAATATACTGAATTTAAAATACTGTATTTTCCCTTACTCAAAATTTTCTGAATAAGAAAGAAAGATTTAGAGAGGTTATTTTGAAAATTTCTAATTACTTCAATTTTTTTCTGAACTAGAAAATATGCTGAATTACTATTTGAATAATCTATAGCAATTCATAACTATTTAATCTGAATAAGAGAGACATTTTTACTTTCTATTATTTAGAACTTCATATAATTAATACACTCCCAAGCATGAATCATTCATAAAACAGAAGCCACTTTTTCAATTGTTTTCAACAGGATAGATTTCGTTTTTTTGAAACCATTTTACTATAAAGCATCATCTAATTTCCTCAAAATGATAAGAGTGAGCCAAAGTGAAAATACATGATTTTATAACTACTGTTGCTGCTGGAGTAGCGCTATTTCAGCTTCAATCCTTCAACCAAGTAAGTCACCTCATGAACTTCTTCACTCATTACCAACATTTTGACTTCCATTTTTTTTTTTTTTTTTTTTACTTTTTCTTCCTCATTCTTTCACTTATTTTGACATTCCACATTACCTGTGGCACCAAGATGATTGCTAGCGACACTAAAAGTGATAAATTTTATTATATCCTCGGTCATAAGTATCATTTGTAGTGACGATTTGCCCTTTATGTGGTGAAAACCTAATTCCATTATGCCAGTGGCTGCTAGGCACCTTAATAGGTCATCAAGACAAAGGCCCATGTATGGAGCCACTTACCCTGTTTCCTGATAAACAAAATACCATCACAAGTCAGAAAAAGAAGACAAAGCATGATTTTGTGGCAATGCTTAAGAAAAATAGTGATGTTATTAGCAGTATCTATCTGATTTAATGTGGCATGGTAATGTACAGTGGACAGTTTTAAACACGTTTAGAAAATATGTGGAAGATGTTTGAATCTCCGAATCTACTGCTAGTGCAATAAATTTATAAAAAAAAGGATTAGTATAATGCGTGTGTAGCTCATTGAAACACTGAAGCTGAATGAATCTATGAAGCTTCTTGAGATAACAGCAATATTATACCAGCTCTGAGCCAACGTCCCACTAGAATGTGTATATGCTCTGAACAATGTAAATTTAAAATGAGTGTGGAAGCTATATGAACCTGTGTTAATAGTGGTTAGTGAGGTGTCTGTGCAGCTCAGTAAGAAAGAGAAGTTGATGAATGCAGTGTATGCCATTACCCATGATCCTTATATGGTAATCCTCTCTTTGTAGATACAGGATAGCACTCACTACCCTTTCAAGTACAGTATTTCACTGCTCCATTACTCACTGAAGGAACTCCTGGTATCCTTTTGCCACTTCGTTTTATTTTTGTGCAAAGCAATGACATCTGGTTTTGCCTGTTCAGAGTATTAAATAATCTTCCTTATCAACTCTAGTATATCCTTTTTCAATCTCATATGCAGTTACTATGTCTCCTTTTTTTCTATCAGCCAGAGAGGACATATCTAGTGCTTTCAGCCTTTCTTTATAACTCATTTCTTTTAGTTCTATTAGCCATTTTGTTGCTTCTTTGAACTTTTTTCTAACCTGCCAACAATATTTTTTTTTTTTAGGTGTGGACATCACACTACTTTTGATATTAATTTTGGCTATCTATCTAACAATCTACTTACTCAAACTTTTTCAAACCTTTGTGTAGATAGTTACAATAATTTTTATAGCTTACTTTGTATAGGATTTTTGCATAATTCCCAAACATGTTCATATAGTGCTTTTTTTTTTTTTTTTGGCAAATAATTTAACATAATTTGCCAGCCATAAGTTGGTGTCAATAATAAGGTGAGGGGTATATATTCAATCTCTAAAAATTAGTTTTTTTACTGGACTGTATAATTTTAGCACATAATACTTTATTTATTGTTATTTTTTTTAACAAGTCCGCCATCTTCCACCAAGGCAGGGTGACCCAAAAAAGAAAGAAAATCCCCAAAAAGAAAATACTTTCATCATCAATCAACACTTTTACCTCGCTCACACATAATCACTGTTTTTGCAGAGGTACTCAGAATGCAACAGTTTAGAAGCATAATAATACTTTAATGTAATATACAAATGGTTCACTAAGTAAATCCAATTTATCACAGGTGCAAACTACAACAATAATATTAATCAAATATTTTAATTATGAAATTTAAAATATGTACCCATTAGAGTTGGGTCATCCTTCCATTCCCCTACCTCCATCAATCTCATTCCCTCCCTTCCTCATCACCATTCCCTCCTTCTCTCTTTACTCTTACCTCCCTTCCTCTCTACCATTCCCTCCCTCCATCTCCCATTGTATTTATCACAACACTGTTTATATGTGTCTCTTCATCAGGTGGTGGCAGTGTTTGAGGTGTGGTGCGGGAGAAGGTAGGCAAGAGGAAAGTGAGAAATGAACCCATCTTACCAGAAGTGTTACTCATAGCTTGCCAGCAATGCACATTCTTATTCACAATTACTGCCCTCACATGCATATATCAGAGGGTTGTTGAGACAATTCAAATGTATGACTGTAATAAAGTTGGTAGAATTACCGACAGTATGTAAAGTAAAAGGACACAAGTGCAACTAATGTGACATTAGTTGCATTTGTGTCCTTTTACTTCACAAATGTATGATGAATAAACTGCTGAGTGTGCACAGAGATCTTCACTAGTTTTTGCTAGTAATTTCTCTGCCTATAAATATTATAATAAAAAAGAAGTGCTAAACCTGCCTATAAATAGACAGTTACTGATTTGATTCAACATCAAGTAATAGCTGCTAATATGGGAGTGAGATGGCAAAAATCAGAGAGGAATGAGATTGGCAGATAAAAGTGTCATGGCTGTCTGTAATCCTCCCTCTCTTCAATGTCTGAACATGAATGTTGTCTCTGGCCTTCCTAAGCCTCAGCAAAAATGTGAGACCTGGTAATTTCACTGTCCAGCACAACTTAAAGCTTATGGATTTAGATTTTACATATAATAATAACTGAACTCACCAATAATTTGAATTCTCTGTCCAAATTTTATTTTTGATCTATGTGCAGGAGGACCCCTATATCCACGGGGGATATATTCCAAGGAACTGCCATGGATACCAAAACTGTGATAGCAGCAAACCCTATACATACCTATCATAAAGTTTAGCCCTTTCAGGGTCGAGAGGCCCTCTCCTAAAATTGTCCTCAGGGTCGAAAATTTTTCGGAAAAAAAAAAAAAAAAATTCTTATGAAATGATAACCTTTTCTTGATCATAATGACACCAAAAGTATGAAATTTGATGGAAAACTTACGGAATTATGCTCTTGCAAAGTTAGCGGTCTCGCCGATGTTTACGCATCGGCAATTTCGCCCACTTTGAGGCCTATTTTCGGCCAATTCCTTTGTACTAGTCGACAAAAATCATATTTATTTAATGAGAACTCCATGTTTTCTATCGAATGAGTATGAGAAACCACCCATTTACCAATTTCAACTATCCAATTAAGTGGTTAGAAATTGGCAATTTTGCCAATTTCACACAAATTTCAAAAGATGTCAATTTCCAAATAGGGTCCAGAATGAACATCAAAATGGTATACAATACCGACAGGTTGTTAGGTTAGACACACATGCAACAGTTAGACAAC